TTTATGTTCCAAAGGTTGTAGTACACTCTTACTACAGGTGATATTTTGCCAATACCTCCCTTACTGTACATACAGTACACAAATATTCTAAGAAAAAAACTACTGTAATTTACCAAAAGGGTTTGTTCATGTTCTAATGCTTGTAATACAGTCCTAGTTACAAGACTGACTTACTACAGGTGAGATTTTCCAATATCTCTTTTACTGTATGTACAGTGCACAAATATTTTTAGAAAAAGGTTGTAGTGTTTTCTTATTTACAAGACTGACTTACTACAGGTGAGAGTTTGCCAATATCTCCCTTACTGTATGTACAGTACACAAATAGTTTTAAAAAACCCACAGTTATTCACCAAGAGGGTTTTATCATGTTCCAAGGGTTGTCTTATATTTAGTGAGTTTTGCCCACTAGTAATTTATGAATAGTTTTTTTTTGTTTCATGTTCCAAAGGTTGTACTTTGTAATTTTTATGAAAATAATTGTGTACTGTACATATATGACGGGAGGTATTGGCAAAATCTCACACGTAGTAAGTCAGTCTTGTATCTAGGAACATATTACAACCTTTGGAACATGAAAAAGCCTTTTTGGTGAATTACAGTAAAGAAGGTATTGGCAAAATTTCACCTGTAATAAATCAGTCTTCTACAACCTACAACCTTTGTAACATGAAGAGAAAAAAATACAGTAGCCTAATTTTTTCATGAAAATATTTGTGTACTGTACAGACTGTAAGGGAGATGTTGGAAGTATTGTCTAAGGCGAGACATTGGCAAAATATATTTAGTCAGTTTGCCACAAGGCATTTACTGTAGTCCTGTGAACATTAATTTGAATGAATTATTGTACTTCGTTTTGTACTGTGAGGTAAATTTGCAGACGGTCCCTAAAGCAGCCTAGTCGAATATGAAATGTGAAACTAACCAGATGACAGTTAGAACGACAGAACAGGACGACAGAATAAGATGACAGTTAGGAGGACAGAATAAGATGACAGTTAGGACAACAGAACAAGACGACAGAACAAAACGATAATAAGGACGACAGTAATTAAATGACAGAGAAAAAGCAGGCAGGACAACAGATTAAGACGACGTCAACAGACAACATACATGCCTACATATACTGATTTACCTGAACAAGTAGGCAATGACTGTAGACAAAGACAAATGTATAGTACAAAGCACAAAGCAGTTGTTTTTGACACAAATGGAACCTCATAGAAAATATATTGTCGAGAGAACATAAGTAATTTAAAATGAAAAGCAATAAATCTAAACTCTCTTCTCTACATGTGACATACAGCCGCTGTTTCTTCAGAGTTCTGAATTAAATATGACTATCAAGTAGTATCATGTAATTAATCTGTTTTCATCAAGAGTTTTTATGTATCAAGAGTGTTCATGTATTTTCTTATGAGACTGTTTCTTATGTGACCAGCATTCAGTGACCATAGGATTTCTTTAGCGCCAATACATATTCTTATAAAAAGTGAAAGGTCTGTTCTGAAATGATTTCGTATCAAAGCCAATACCTTAATGCCAATAGTGGTGCAGAACTGTTTCTTCTGACCTTTAAAAAAGAAAGGTCAGGAAAAACACAAACCGAGAACTCTCTAGGAGAGCAGAAGCTAGTCTTAAAGTGCCCCTATTATGGATTTTTGAAAATTACCTTTCATGCAGTGTGTAACACAGCTCTAAGTGAATGAAAACATCCTGCAAAATTTTTTATCTGAAAGTGCACCATGTATAAAGTTATTGTCTCTCAAAAGAAAGAGTCGACTCTGAATCATTGAAACAAGTCATATTTAAAACGAATTCCAAGCCGTTTCATGTTGACGTTACATGAAACATTAGCATTTTGCCCGCCCACTTGGTCTTTTCGAGTTGGTCTAAATGAAAATGCAAATTCTTTCTTTGCCACTATGTGCCGCTTTTGGAGTGGTAAAATAGCTGTTAAAACGCTGTAAACAAAGAAGCACTGCGCTCACAAACGCTGCTTTATCAGACATTACAGGCATGATGAAATGAAAATGAGACAAATCGGACCAATCACCACAGATTAGTGGTCTTAGTATACGATGTAACTACAGAAGAGTCAAGTTTTAAATAGGAAAAATATAAAAACTCTTTGGTCATTTTTGAGCGAGATGCTAACGGTCTAATCAGATTCAATGATCTATGCTAAGCTACAGCTAAAAGTGCTACCGCCAGACCCGGAGATCGGCTGAATGGATTCGAAAACGGTAAAACTCAACTGTTTAACTCTAGGGGAGTTGGAAAATGAGCCTATTTTCAAAAATAGTGGAGTGTTCCTTTAAGACATTCATTAAAAAATACACCATATGTCCACCACTGTAAGTTTCAAGACCAGTCAGGTCTGTTATGTCAAACTGTCTATGACATCATCTAACAAAGAGCTTTTTAATTTAAATGAAAAGGGAATAGAAAATGTTCCATTCAATGAGAACAAGCTCTGAATCTGAAACTGTCATTTTTCCTCTGACATCATTTGATAACTAAAAGAGACTGTCCCATTTCCATCCAATATGCTGAAGATGTCAGAGGGCAACTATGTTGGGCTCATTCTAGAAAAAACTGTCACATTTACTCAGATGTTTCACAATGATGAGTGCAATAGGTCATACCATAATCCTTACAGCCAATTCAGAAAAATAAGTATTTTCTGACTTTTTTTTCTCCAGGTATTCTGTATAATCTGCCACCAAAAATCTAAACACAAAACATGTTTCAAAAATATACATTTTGCATATCGGCAGTGTACCTGTTGTGTCTGAATGATATTTATTGCAACCACTTATAAGATCTATTTAAGGGATAGTTCACCTAAAATGGAAAAATCTGTCATCATTTACTCACTCTCTTGCATGTCGTTCCAAACCTGTCAAACTTTTTTGTTTATAAAATAAAACTCATTGGCATAAGCTCTGAATCTGAAACTGTCATTTTTCCTCTGACATCATTTGATAACTAAAAGAGACTGTCCCATTTCCATCCAATATGCTGAAGATGTCAGAGGGCAACTATGTTGGGCTCATTCTAGAAAAAACTGTCACATTTACTCAGATGTTTCACAATGATGAGTGCAATAGGTCATACCATAATCCTTACAGCCAATTCAGAAAAATAAGTATTTTCTGACTTTTTTTTTTTCCAGGTATTCTGTATACTCTGCCACCAAAAATCTAAACACAAAACATGTTTCAAAAATATACATTTTGCATATCGGCAGTGTACCTGTTGTGTCTGAATGATATTTATTGCAACCACTTATAAGATCTATTTAAGGGATAGTTCACCTAAAATGGAAAAATCTGTCATCATTTACTCACTCTCTTGCATGTCGTTCCAAACCTGTCAAAGTTTTTTGTTTATAAAATAAAACTCATTGGCATCCAATGTTGTTTTGGACCTCGCTAACTTTATGGACCTTATAAAAAATAATAATTTTGTGTTCCACAGAAGAATGCAAGTTATACAGTTTTAGAACGAAATAAGGGTGAGTAAAATTTGTATTTTTTGGTGAACAATCACTTTAAGAGAAAAAGCATGACTTTTGTGCAATATTTTTGTAAACTAAAGACATAGTTAGATTGGAGAGCCATGTTCCTATAATCAACAAAGCTATAGTGACATTGTATTTTAACTGTATAGCCTGAGGAGAACTGGCCCCCTGGTGTAGAATGGTGTCTCTTAAGGTTTTTTTTTTTTTCATTATCCCAGCATTAAATTAAGTTTTCTGTTCCTTGCCACAGTGGCTTTTGGCTTGCACACTAGGGGACTAAAGATAAAAGTATTATTACGGTTGAACTGCTTAGTAGTGGGTGATATGCTCAAAAACGTAAACCTTGATATGCATCATTTTAAATATGACAATGAAACATATCACATAATAAGTGTGTCACTGCACCAAAATTGTATAAATTCAAACCAAAGTCATACAATTTTAATCCTCAATATCACTGCAAAATGGATTACTAACTTCAGTTGACAATTATTACATACATCCAACTTAAATGTTATAAATACATTAACGTGTATACTCAGTTACATTAGCAAATCTCAACTGGTTGATTGTTAATGTCATTGTGAAATGTAAGCTATCCAGCTTTAAATGTGGACTTCAGTGCATTAAGGTATTACTGATGTGAATTTCTGAAAAGCTGCTATAGAAATAAAATTGACTTGTGTATCTGTAAGAGCAGGTGTCCCCATTTAACTTGAATGTGCGAGCCTTCTGGTATCATCCGCTTCCATTTATTTTTAGCTGTACAAAATAGCTTGTTATGCTGCTTGAGACTGCATACTGGCATTTCTTATTTCGTAATATTTTAATTTATTCTCAGAATTATAAACAGACTGAATCATAGCACAAATAGTTTTACTGTTTACTGCACCAGTTATTTTAGTTGTTTACCAATCACAGCTAATAAATTGGAAGTTTTGCACGACCACAGAAAATAGCCTACTTCCGTGTTGCACAATATTAGATAATCCCTCCTCTAATTCTGAAGATAAACTTCCCTAAAGTCTTTTTGATGTTTGTCATGATGTCTAAGTAAGAAAAAAAAGATTTAAATAAAAGCCTACAGTGTAGACCTCATATGTTCAATCATGTTGAGAGATTCCTATTAAACAAATCGAGTTGCATAAATTGTGTTGCACCTACTTGATTATGCAATCATTTAGTCAAATACTCTTAATCTGTTTTCAGACAGGAAGGCTTCTAGAAATAACCTGATCGCATCAAAGAGAGCTGCCTCCACGGACAATAAATAACACCCAGAAACCACAGATATAAATCTATGGACGTGGAAAGCATTTGTTACTGTGAAAATCTGTACTTTCTCATCATAGTGAATCTAGCTGTCAGGAATGACAAAATGCTGTTTTGTAAAGCTCTTGTGGCTATCATGCATGGCTATCTTAAATAATTAATAGTGTTGACATCAGTCAGGTTGGTCCATACCCTGACTTACCTGAAAGGATATGGGATCCTTTGATTTGTCCTCCGTATTATCATTCTCATCCTCATTTTTATAACTTCCTGTCGCTAAGTAACCCTCGTCGTATCGACAGGCCAAGAGAAGATGCCGTAGCTGCCCCCACATCAAGTAGGGAGAAAGCTGAATTCTCTGTACCACAGAAGAGGGCCAGACCTCCCACTTTAAGACAATTCTGTTACATGGCATAGCTCATCTAATGCCTTTCCACGTTGTTAAAGAACATGTTCCAAAAGACCCAAAGCCATTAGGTTTCTCATGATCCACGGCAGTTTCACATCTCTGGTTAGCAGGTACCCTAACAAAAGGAACTTAAACAGAAGACAACAAATGAGAGCAGCACTTGGTGAAGAGGGCAGAAAAGGGATTACACTTGTGCATGTCCCATCGAGTCTGATCCCCCAGTGGTTTAGTGCACTTCACAGGCTTAGGACAGATTAAACACAGGATATGTGCACCTGTCGTTCACAGCCACAAGTGTGTCATGTGAGCAATATTTTGAATAAAGTGGATATAGGGTTCAATATACAAAACTTCACCAGTCAAATGTGGTTAACTTTAATACTTTTTACTTAAAAGTGTCATTTCTATACCTTGAAAAGTAATGTAAATTAAGGTTTTTGTTGTTGTTTTAAATTTAAAAAAAAATATATATATATATACCTTTTATACAAAGATAAAAGGTAATAAAAAGGCAATTTGATCAGGTAGTCAATTTTAGTAAAAATATTTAAAGGGATCAAAGGATGCCCAGTTTCCACAAGTCGATATGATTCTTTAGGGTCTTAATGAAAAGTCTGTAACATAGTTTGGTTAAAATTTCTCAATGGTAGTGTAAAAAACACCTTTTTTACCCTTCAAAAACAGCTCTTTTCCGAGCATGCAGATTTGTAGCATTTTCCTTTAAATGTTAATGAGCTCTGCTGACCTCTCTTCCCTCTCTTCCGAGCTGCTCTCAGAGAGACTGTTTACTTTAGCCGCATTCATCGTGAAACTTGCTAATTATCACATTATTAGGAAAGGCGATTTGCAAAGATTCGTTAAAAAAAACACTCACTTCTTCTGTAGGTGAAGCTGGATCACGAATGATTCGCGCGAACATAGACACATTTATGTAGATCGAGGGTGCATTCCCTTAAAAAACAAACATAATCCACTGTCTTCAGTGGCTCAGATTTCGGGAGTAAATGACGACTGCTATGTTCATTATTACATCCAACAACAGAACACCTCAATCGCTTAGGAGTCATTCTTGTCTACATCTGCTCCAGCGGTGAAACAATGGCGGACTGATGACAGCTCACTCAAGCGGGTCTAAGGTAAGACGCCAGTCCAGTCTGTGCTGAAACGCTACTGTCAATCAAACTATC